CGTTCATATCAAGGCGGAACAATTCACCGAAAATGAGCCGGAATTCAATATGGCTCAACGTTTGAACGGCACGCACGTGACGCGCCCTTCAATCGTAATGCAAATAGCAACACTTTTAATCAGATTCATACTTTTGAACTGTACGACCAATTTTGGAAGCAGATCCGATGAGTGCTAGGCCGAGTTCGTTCTAAATACAAACGTGAAAAGTTGCGAAAGTGAATTGAAATAGTAAAGTCTTGGCCGGTTTGGGGTGGGTCCAAGAGCTTTTTTGTACGTCTCGGAGTTCGTCCTACGAAGATTTGTACATATTCGGTGAAGACGTGGGCGGGGCTTGCTTTTGTTAAGATGTAGGGAGTGCTACAACAGATTTTTGGTATGTGAGCTACAGGACCCTCTAACGTGCCTGTGAATTCGATATTCATAATATTACGGTCTTCGCACAGTGATTATCATGCACAGAGGCGCCACCGAGTTGGCGTGGATTTTTCTCCTTTTTAGTGAGTCGGGGGCCATGGGCAATCATCTCAAGTTTCTTTTAATCACACGTGCAATGCGGAATATAAAGCTTGTTATTTTAAAGAGTGCATCCTTGTGGATGGCCTGAAATTGTGCAATGCCTAAGATAAGACCGGGGAACTTGGACACAAGTTGGTGTAATGGACATAACCAATGTGGAGAAATAATCACTCCTTGTTTTGGACGAAATTACAGGATTGCTAATTTTTAACATGCTTATTTTTTTGAATACAAAATTCTTCAATACTGTTTTGCCTGGAGGGTCCCCAGATGCTACGTGACTTTTGTTGCAAATTGACAAAAGCATATATGCAACACGAAAAGGATAAGTTTATGACTTTTGGTCTAGAACAAAATAGTTTAAGGCGGAAGTGGCGAGGTCCTAATATAGGGGATTCAGCTCCATTCACTGAAGCGTGGATATACAAGTTTTAATGTGTGAGCAAACTATGCAAATTAAGCCAAATGCAATTTTTATGGATATAGTGCCACTAGTGACCAACTGAAAAAATAGAATATGATTTCGCCAGACCTGAAACGTTGCAATAAAATTGGAGTTTTTCGTATTGTTAGGGGCGCAAAAGATCGAGTCGAAGTCGCTAAAAATAATAAGAAGAAACAGCAGTTTCAATAGGGACCTCCAGCGGTCGCTGGCTCGGTCCCTAACCAGTGGTCACTGGCTCGGTCCCTAAATACACAAAGTTTCCTCTTTTCCTTCTAGATGTCAGTGTGTGTGCTCATGCCTCTGTGAGCCTGCATCTGATGGGCATGAGCTCTGAGCCGGAGGTGTTCTCGGTGCATATGAACGGGCAGGTTCTGCAGCAGACTGGGCATAAAATGTCATCGGTGGGCCTGATCAGTGGCTCCACTGCCACTGCCAGCATGGTGGCTCTCCACACGGGCCGCTGGCTGCTCTCCTCACACACCATCAAGCACATGGAAGGTGAGATGACATGAATGGATCCATGGGTAAATGGTTATGACCAATGTAATTAAATTTGCAAGAAAAAAATGTCTGTTTCTGTCATTGCAGCTGGCATGCATGGTTTTGTGGACGTGAAAAAGTGTGATGGCTTCAAAGCACCGCAGCGAAGGATGACAATAGAACAAAGACGACACAGCAGGGAGTGGAAATACTACATAGCTGCTGAAGAAATTGTCTGGGACTATTCACCTAACATGCACGAACACATTGAAGAGTAAGCAGAATTTACAGATATATTCATTTCAGAGCATTTTAGCAAGTACAAACTAATCAGATATCCCTGATATACATGGCATGGTGTTCTTTCCAGTTTTGGTTTACTGAAGAGGCTATTTTCTATCTTTGACTCTGCTGCATCCCTGAAGAGAATCCCTCATCTCTTTAAGTTCTATTTGAACTAGAAGAACAGTTTTGCACTACAAGATAAAGATAAAACCTAGATAAAAAGTGCCACACAGCTTAAAGTGATCAGTGTTTCAAAATGAAATAAAACCTTTGACCTTTTTGTGCAGGGACTTCAAGTTTCAGTACCTGAGGCAGTCATCAACACGCATAGGAAGGAAGTACAGGAAGGCAGTGTACACGCAATACAAAAATGAGTCATTCACTGAAAGAATGGAGAGCAAGCAAAGGAAAAATGAGCTTGGGATCTTGGGCCCGGTGATCAGAGCACAAATCAGAGATGTCATCACGGTGAGAACATAAAGTCACATAACACACTTAATTGATTTCATCTGATGACTGCAAAGGATTTGCAAATCAGTATTTAAGATATACGTTTTTTATTTATGTTAACTGTTTCAGTAACTGTAGTAAATTTGAAATTGCTACAGTTCCTGCACTGTTCAACTGCTGTGGATACAAACATTATCAAATTCAAACTGACAGTCAGCACTTTAATTGTGACAATGAGAACAGAGCCAACTCATGAATCAATAATACTTTCATTCTGGACTCTCCAGGCATAATCCTTGTCATTGTCTACAGACTGCATGTTCTCTCACTTCTGTCTGTCTTTTTTGATTGATTAGATTGTTTTTAAGAACATGGCCTCCAGGCCCTACAGCATCTATCCACATGGACTGACTATAGAGAAGTCAGAAGAGGGAGTCAACTACCCAACAGGAGGTACTCAATCTCTTTACTGTAAAACAAATTGATTGAATTGATTGGGTATAGTATCTCCCTCTAGTTGGCTTATGGTGACAATAAAATTGATGAGGTATATCACATTGTTGTTGCCAGGCAACCAGTCCCATGGTGTTCAGCCAGGTGAGACACACACCTACATATGGAGAGTGGTCGAAGAGGATGAGCCTTTGGACGGAGACTCTCGATGTCTGACGCGAATGTACCACAGTGCAGTGGACACACCACGGGACATCGCCTCAGGACTGATCGGACCGATCCTCATCTGCAAGAGTCAGTCCCTCAACGTCAGGAACGTGCAGGTACAAAGATTCTACATTCATTTGTAGTCGTGCTAGTGGCATTGGCAATTTTAGTCTGTTTGTCATTTGGTTGGTCCACCACTAGACATTTCAAAAATAACTATTTAATGGATTTCATTCATGGTCACCAGAGGAAGAATCCATTCTGACTTTCATGATACATTGACTTTTCCTCTAAATTAAAATTTGTGGCAGGTCTTGATATCAAAGCTTTTCTGCTTGTCCACGTGTTTTTTTTACAAAGCAAGTGGAATTTACTTGCCTCATTAGACAAAAAAAAAAATGTTGTGCCACACATTACTCACAATTTTTCTGCTGGTAATGAAAAACAAACATTCCGTGATCAATCATCTGATTCACTTCTTTAAGTGCCTTTCCAGATCCACAGGTCTAAACCATGTTGGGAAAACCTTTTTTTTTAGGTTATTAGTGTGCCTGCAAAGCACACTACTATTATTGCTCATACTTAAAGTTAAACTTAATATTATTCTTCTGTACGTTTTTCGGTCGACTACTCCTCCCGCAGTTTTGGTTGCACATACACAAAAA